TATGTGAAAAGTATATATATGTATATATACATATATATGTGTGTATATATATTGGATTTATTGGACCAAATATAGCCAACGAAAATCTGGTGGTGATTGGGCAGTACACCTGGAGACATCCCTACTCTTTTTCGAAGAATGTATTGCGTTCTTTAACGTGCAACGGCTTAAACGTCTCATCCGAAAGACGGTGCACTATTAGTATTTCAGCTCTACAGCTGAAACACAAGAAGAGGCAGCGATGGGAAATGAACCAGGGACCTAGAGATTTCCACAGTTCAGTGCACACACAGTGCTTACCACCAGATTAGCCAATTAGCCGAGCTATGCTGCTCTCTTATTGCGGTAACGGGTGGAGGGTGTGGGGTGGGAATGGTGCAGACTGTGCAATCGCACCCCCTAAATTGTATTAAGAAAAATAATTGTTGTATTAATTGTTTATATGAATTACCGGTAAGATTGTTAAGGTATGATCAATTTCCGGGCGCCTACAGGTGAACTCTCACGCAACCCCCTCCCTCCCCCTTCTACCGCCAAATCCTGTAACTCTATTGTGTCTTATTCTGCTGATGAGTTAGGAAAATGGGAAAACACCCAGAAACAATAGACAAATAATGCAGTAGCCGGGTACTCATTGCGCCCGACGGTTGTCGAGCGATGCGATTCTATGGGGAAAACAACGCCACAACGCACATGCAACGGATCGTTTTTTGTTTTTTGTTTTTTGGTTTTTTTTAAAAATAAATATCCGTTCAGACTGGTACCGCGAAAATCAGCAGACGGCGTTATATCGTCTAACGCGCTCACAGGGTGCGGAGTTGGAAATATCTCATGAATAATGCCAAATGTAAGCCATTGATTTATAATAATAATAATAATAATAATAATAATAATAATAATAATAATAATAATAATAATAATACACATTTTTATAGCGCCTATTAAAGCAAACAAAACTGGCTTGTCACCGGCGCTGGAGGATGTTAGAAAGAAGTTGAACTATTTGAAGAGGAATGATTTAAGAGTAGATTTGAATAATTGCGGATCAGAAATGATACGTAATTGAGGAGGCAGAGAGTTCCAGAGTTTATGAGCAGAGAAAGAAAAAGAGCGTTCACCGTTACGAATATGCTTGACTCGTGGAGTAACAAGTTTGAGGGATTGAGAAGAACGAGTAAAACGGGAAGAAACCTGTTTGTCTATAAGCGAACAGAGATAAAGTGGGGCACGACCATGGATAGATTTTTGGGTGAGAAGAACAATTTTAAAAATGATTCGCTTATCAACTGGAAGCCAGTGAAGAATGTTTAAAATTGGTGTGATGTGGGTGAACCTTTTAGACAATGTTACAACACGAGCAGCAGAGTTCTGAAGTTTCTGAAGGTGTCTAATGCTACTAGCAGGTAAACCATTGAGCAATGCATTGCAAAAGTCAAGTTTGGATGAAATAAAAGCATGAACAAGAGAAGCAGCAGCAGAAGATATGTAAGGTCTAATGGAACGGATACGGCGAAGATGAAAGTAACCCGATCGGCATACAGATGATATATGGTTGCTGAAGTCAAGATGTTTGTCAAATATGACCCTAAGTTCCGAACCGAAGTAGAAGGAAATATGTTAATACCATTACAGTTTATGTTAATTTCAGGAACAGTGCGAGTACGATATTTGGAAGAAATAACAAGAAGTTCAGTTTTACTAGGGTTTAATTTAAGTTTTATCATTGAAGACCAAATAGTAATAGATGAGAAACATGATTCAAATATGGAAATAGTAGAAGCAATGTCAGCGGGATTGTCAAGATCGACTTCTTTCCAGAGCTGGATATCATCGGCAAATAAATGATAATTGAGACCTAAAGAATTTAACAACTTAGAAAGACTGGATGTATAACAAATAAAAAGAAGAGGGCCAAGAACGCTACCTTGAGGAACACCATGTTTAAGAGGAATTTTATCAGAGAATGCATTACCAACGTTAACAGAGAAATGGCGACATTGAAGATAATTAGTGAGAAGTTTATGGGCTTTGCCAGACACCCCAAATTCTGTAAGTAAGGTATTCATAAGCATCACATGGTCAACAGTGTCAAAGGCAGATGAATAGTCGAGAAGCATGAGAACGACACCTTTTCCTTGGTCAAGTGAATTTAGAACACTACATGTAAGGGCCAATAAAGCTGTTTCAACACTATGAGATTTATGATAAGCAGATTGACAAGTATCGTTACGGGTATCGTTACGCTTCAAATGATGTGAATTGATATCCATAGAGCGTGGCAGTCCTTTGTATCTTTCCATATAATAACCAATTACTCTCCAATCGTTAACAAACACTTCTCCTGGCCTAAAAATTGACTCAAGCTTTAGGTGATTATTGGTATAGTTCTGATAAATCATACGATATACCAGGCCCTGGAATTGTTATTATTTTTTTTATATACAACAAGCCTATTTTAACATGGCAGGAAGTCGTCTCATTACTGGACTGCTTACCTTACTTTTAACCTTCAAAGCATGTAAGTTGAAAAAATTCTAGGTTTACATTAAATATGTGCAGGCGTAACCCGTCTTTAAAAAAGAAATTCTGTCTTCTTTTAAAAGAACTTTATTATTTCGCTTTACAGCATATTGTCTCTGCTGATGTTGATTCAAGTGATTAAGTTAGTCAACAACAGTATTTAACTTATATACGTTATAACAAAAGACTACAGAGGTAGTCGAAATATTCTTTACAAATATTCAATACAGTTTAGACAGGATTGCCTTTTAAAAATTGTCTTAGATGGTCGATGGAAAACCCAGCTAAAGGAAGAAAGAGATGTGCTTTCCTAGATACCATAAAAAAGGGAAACGCATGCGAACAGTTAAATAGAGCGGCTTTAGATAGGGAGAGATGGTGGGAGTGGCTGCATTTAGTGTTGGCTACATTATAGTGTTTCTATAATATGGTAAACGCTACTAACAGCGTCGACATAATGTTTATAATGTCGACGTATACGTTTCTACTTTGTGTAATCGTGAAGGGTCCCCGCTTGGGTAATTTTGGGCCCATGGTCCTAGCAATAAAATAATATGCCATTAATACCCCAGGCCGCTTAAGGTATGGGTACTGGCTTTAGCCAGTGGAAGCACATAGGTTCTGCGCCACTGTGATGGGCCTTTTCTTCCCTACTAACAACTCCACGCCCGAATACTAAAACATCTCATTGATTGTTAGAGCACTGTTCTTATTTGGGAAATTTACTTGTTGTTGGATGTAAAAAACATCATCATGTGTTCTTAAACAGATTGAGAGCGAGATGGAGAAAGATAGAGTAGGAGCGGATCCAGAACTTTTCAAACTGGGGTGGGGGCACACAACAGTTTCAGAATAGATAAGTGAGTAGCACATAACATTAATAGGCATACATTGAAATTTTTAAAATTTAGTGGCAAAACGGTGGGGAGGGGGGTACGTACCTCTGAGATAGAGGGGTAAAACAATTATAGCTCAGTCGGCTAAACTGGTGGAAGCCACTCTGTGTGCGCTGAACTGTGGAGACCTATTGGTCCTCAGTTCAATGTCCATTGCTGCTCTTCTTGTGTTTCAGCTGGAAGGCTGAAATGCAAGTTTCAATATCTTTAATCCCCTGTTATACTGTATAATGGTGAATGTGCATGTTAAAGAACACAGTACACTCTTTGGAAAAGAATATAGGGGATTGCCTCCCGGTGTAATCACACCAGAATGACCCCACTGGGAGTAAATTCCAGGGGCGGATGCACAGATGTACGAAAGGGGGACGAATGTGGTGCTGATCGAGATAACACTACTCTAGGTGTTCGTTCGGGGGCATGCACCCGCGAAAATTCGGTGCTCTAGACGCCCGAAAATAACCTTTAAGGCGCTTTGGGCAATAGACTTTTTCTTTCACTTTTTTTCTTTACATTTTTCTTTTTCTTTCTGTTTTTTTTTTTTTTTTTTTTTTTTTTCTTTTCCTTTTTGCTTTCCAAAAGGAGAGGGGGCGGGTTATCGTTGGTGTCCACACCAAATAAATCCAATCTAATCTATCCGTCCATGTGAATATGTCGACAAATAATTATTTACTAAATAACCGATTGGTCTTCTAACCTTGATAATATTGTATATCATTGCTTTGATCATTTGAATGACAAGTTGTTTACAGATGAATGGTGGTATACAGTCCACTGGTTTTAATACAAGAGCTAAAATTTTTTTTTCAATAATTACCCCCTCCCCCGTGGATAGTGTCATCCTCCCGGATAATGGCTGTTTCAATCGAATTGGTCACTTGGCGGCGGCGTCCACATAAGTCAAACATTTTGTTGTAAGCATCCGAATTTCAAGCTGGGCAAACATTTGCTCATATGTTCTATATACCTTAGAATATAATTTTACATACATGTTTATCAAATAATAAGGCGAAAGTTATAATTAATAATGCTCGAGTGGACCTTGATAATATACCTGACCGCTGCACTGCACACATACACATAATAATTATACCTTCTCATACAACTGACTTTACGTCTATTCAAATTATGCTTAATGCGTACCACTGTAAATACAATATAAATAAATAGGTATATGGTAATGACAATGCTCAAATAATAGGAACATATAACGTCATAATCGTATAAACATAGCTCTTCGACTGTCATTTTTTTCATTTGTACTAGACCAATTATCATCATTACCATTAGTATTTTTTATCATTCTCATTATTATTATAATTATCTTTACTATGATTATTGATTTATTATTTTCATTAAGCTTACTAGTGGGGCGGATATGTGACATTTTTTGGTCAAGACGTGCACTTCTGGAAAGAAGCATGAAACTTTGTCCTAGGGGGTTTTTGAGTATGCCGATTCCAAAAATTGCAGGAACCATGATGTCACTCCAACCGTTCCCACTGAAAATTGGAAAAATCGAAATGGCCGCCAAAAAACACAATTTTTGCAGTTTAAATGATTCAAGTGTCCACATTACCATGATCTTGGTGTCAATACCTATGTTCTTTGGTTCAAGGAATCCAGTAAAACATTATTAAAATACAATAACATACATCTTTATCGTGAAAATGCAAAATAAAAAAAACAAAACAAAACAAAACAAAAAAAGCCACAATTTTGGCAGTTTGAAGGCTCTAAGTGTCATATTACCACAATCTTGGTGTCAAAACCTATGTTGTTTAGTTCAAGGAATCCAATAGAACATGTATAAAACACCATAGCATACACCTTTATTGAGAAAATGCAAAATAAATATTCAAATAGATATTCAAAATGGCCGCCAAAACACATTTCTAGTATCAAAATGACTGACAGATATATATTCAATAAAAAAAAACAGACGAGGTGGTTAATTTGCCTCAATTTATTTGAAATAGATGCTCACTCGCAGGTCAAGACATATTTAAGGCTATCAGGCAATTTTGACCAGATTCGGGGGAAAAGTACTATAACAGAATTATGATGAACAACAGTACGAGAATACAAATGATTAAATGTAAGGATGGTTAGATGTCTAGTATCAACTGATAGATATTCTTTTATTATTGAACAGTCAATATGACCAAAAAGGCATTTACAAACAAAAGAAATTAAAATCAGTTCCTGACGGCATTCAAGCGATAAAAGTTTAGTGGATTTCAATCTGATATCATATGGGATTTCACCTCTACCAACTCTCAAGATTCTACGTGTGGCATATTTTTGGATGCGCTCTAAACGAATACGCTCTTTTTTTAGTCTGGGGCATCTATGAATATATAATGTCATAAAAATCCATGAATATAGATATACATGTACAATAATGTACCCGCAACAATGGATTATACCATTGTAAGGTAGGGGTGGACAATGGGGTGTTTGTCTTGATGCTGGTCTACAATTGGTTTCTGCTGCAGTGCTAGCAGTGTCTTTGTATCAGCTTTTGTGTATTATGAATTAGAAACTGGGTGTAGTCTACATAGGCATAAACATCATAAAAAATTGTTTTTATCTTGGTTATCAACAGCTGTTTTAGATTGCATATCCTGGTGAATCTAAATATGAGGCCGAGGTGGATGTAAACTCTCAAGCGAGTGGCCGTTCCCAAATTTTCCACCTATACTTTGTAGAAGACATTACACCAACTGCTGTCACAAGCTAAAGTGTAGCACCACAAACTAAACTAAATGTGACAAATATAGATGGATACAAAAATGTTCCTTAATCCCAACTCTAATTTGAGTATGTATTAGTTGAGGAACTGACACTAAACATGCGAGGCCGAGGTAGGTGTGAACTCATAAGCAAGAAGCCGTCAGCACTGTAAAATGACTTCGAATCTGGTATGAAGAAATGAATCTGGTATGAAGAGATGCATACTGCCTTCAGTGTTTTGTAAAACTCCTTGTAGCTGCGAGGTTTATCCACAAATTGTTTTTGATTTCCTTGTCATTTTCTTCAAACCAGTCTTTGATTTTTCCTTGTGGAGAACCCTTGGACTTCTTCTAAGGTCTGGCGGATAGCATTTTTCATGTGTGACAAAATAATTCTGGCCAGAAGTTTGCAGTGTAACTTGCATCCTAAAGCTTTGATTGAAGTTTTACCTGGATGTCAGCTTTCATTGCAACTGACTGGAAGTTGCCAACCTGATACTTCTCCCTTTTAGTGTTTCGAGGATGTTGCCCTTGACATCTGTGGGGGTGTTCTGTACGAGGCTGATCAGATCAGTGTAAAACTTGCCCTTAGCGTCAGCTTGAACGGTCGGGGTATAAATGCTGGCGAAAGTAACATGATGCTTGCTTTGAAGTGATGCACGTGGAGATGATGCGATCGGAGTGACCAGTTGATTGTATTATTGATTTTTAGGCAATTGAGTTTCTCATTTTAAAAGCACTCACAAGACATTTGAGCTGTCTTTAACTTGCCTGACCAGTTGAGAGTGAAGCCAGCTCTAAGTTCTTAAATGCTGCCTTCCTTCGCTAAGAGCGGCAATGTCAATATGCAATTGTGACCCAGTTCATGTACAAAAAAAAATACAGTCACGTCAATATCTAATATATCAAGCATAGTTATTCCAGCATGTAAGCTTTAGTTTTTGTACTCCATTTAAGGCATGGTCTGCCTTTCTGTAAGTGCTCGATGACCTGTTGGCTGCAGTCAGCAACTGGAAGGAATGGAAAAGAGCTTTGGTAAGGCCTCCGTTTCTACGCCATTCTCTAGTGGGGCAAGCAGTGCTGTCTAAAGACGGAAGCTGTCACTCCTATAGCCAGCATTAAGCGGCCAATATCCCGAACTGCTTACATGTAGGATCAAAACAACGGCTTCCAGTGACATCATCTTCAGCCTGACATCTTTCCACCCTTTCATTTCTCATTGGCCCGTTTCTCATTGATGCAAAACGTGAGGGGAAAAGTGATGAGGGCTTGTTCTTGACGCCTGCAAAATAGAGTTTTTAAGTGGAGTGCACTGTGTGCAGTACCCACCTTTTCCTCCCCAGGTTTATATGTTCAACACACATTTT